TTTCATGTTTCGAGTTTAGAGAGACACTGGCTCCATCAGGGTCGAAATCGGGCTTGAAGTTGCTGCACCTGCACTGCTAACGTTCTGGAACATTATGCAATTCTAGTAGGCGGATCCGACGCGGTTTATTTGCCGAAGTTTTCAGAGCTGGTGCACGAAAGTTCCAGCTGTAAACACCACTTTCCTAGTTATATTAGGACTTCATTTTATTTTCTATATCTTCCTTGATTAGTCAGACTTGGATAGTGTTATTTTAAGATAATATTTAGAATATTTTTAGGAGATTTTGTAGGCTTCTAATACTGAGGGCATGAACGTGTATAAAAGGTGGAGGGAATCATCAGAGATGGGCTCTCGCTCTCTCTCCCCTCTTCTGGAACTTCTCCTTTGAGTTTTCATTATGGCCTTGCACGGTTAAACTTTGGTAATCGGTCGAAGGAAACGGAAGCCTCGGAATCAATAAAACTGCGAGGTCTAATTTGTTTTTTTTATTGTTCAGTTTATGCTTTGAGTATAGGGTGTTCTTCTGTGCATATTCTCATGATTGTCTCATTTAATTACTAGGAGGCCTACTAGTAATTTATTCGTAGCAATCTATTGTTAGGTTAGATATCTAATCCATAATTGTTTGATCCCTCTAATTTGTGAAGCAACTAAGCTTTAATGATTTGTTGCATCATAAATTATTATATCTTATGAAGAATGCTCGACGAAATTAAATGCAACCGCTTGTGTTCGTGTTGTTTAGCTTCATCAATCTCTCTTATTCTTAAGGCCGCTACTAGATTAAATCTTTAGCTCTTGTCTTGGGTTGTTTGGTGTGTTTAGTAACGTTTACGTTTTCAGTTTGTATTTACAAAAATTTTATAAATTGGTTTTTGTTTATTTTTAGAAAAACATAAACTACAAACGCGTTTGGTAATTGACAACATGTTTAAAAAATTTTAAAAATATAAAAGAGAGTGAGAAATGGCAAGTGGTGACAAGTGGCGGCGGAAGACAGTGGTGGAAAGTGGTGACGGTGGGTGGTGGGTGGTGACGGGTGGGTGGCAGGTGGGTGATGGGTGGTGGTGGTGGCGAGGAGTTGGGTGGTGGTGGCAGATGGGTGGTGGGTGGTGATGGGTGGTGGTGGCAGGTGGGGGGTTGGTGGTGGTAGGTGGTGGCGGAT